CTTATATTAAAGAAACAGCACGTTTTTATTTCAATAATTCTTAACACCTATCGTGTTAGTTTTCAAATATTAAAAACCGTGTGTGCGTGACAGTGTATTTTTTTTTAATTTCTAACGAGTAAGCCCCCTAGATGAGTGTGTACGCTCTTGGGGCAAACTCAATTTTCCAAAAATATGTTTAAATAAATAAAAAAAAATAGGTACGCAGTGCGTACACGTTGCACGCTTATAACTTTGGGTACAACTGGCTTGAAACTTAAAATATTGACTCAATAAGTTTAATATCAATATATTTATTGAAAAATAGTTTCATGTCAAAATAAGAAAGCTTAAGATTCTCACGCGAATATATAGGCAATGTTTTTTTATGAGCGACTGCTCATCCTTTATAGTTGCGAGCGACGGTAATAACAAGGCCAAGGTTCAATTACTGATTGACTGTTCACACGAAGGTTTCCTTTACAAATTTATAACTAAACAAGACGCCTGCTCAAGGCGTTCACTCCGTCGGTAAAGGGGAAGAGCAGCAACAGAATTGCTTGGGGTGATGTAGGAAGTTGATGAGGCGTGGTTAGCACCTTATTATAATTTTGGCAAAGAGTAACATAATACTGTAGCCTACATACAAATCAGAAATGAAAGATATATCTCCAGTACTTTAATTATACTTGGTTTGGTCTACAGTATATATTATTAATTACAGATCGTATACAGTTCTACTTCAAATGTATAAACAGTACACACTTGCACATCTGGTTCCCAGAAGGCTTGGGATAAGTATCATTGTGAAATAATTATAATATGGTGATATATAGTATCTGGTGTTCCATCAAATTTCCACGTCATTTTTCTTTTTTTTATTATTATTATTATTATTATTATTTGGTGTTTAATTACACATTTTCGCATAAACAATGAATTACAATGTGTTTACATTCAAAGTCAAATTTAGTTTATAGTTATTTACACGGTCATAAAATTTAAGGTAAAATAGGTTACGAATATTATTAATATATAAGTTAAGATCGA